TTTTAAAAATGTTATATTATATTTAAAAAGAATTACAAACATTAGAAATTTAATTAATAGCCTTATATGAAAAATAATATGTTAGTTACAAATGGTAAAAATAATATTAAAATAATGAAAAAGTGAAATAGAGAGGTGAATAGTAGTTCTCCAAATTTGGAAAACTACTATTCATCTCTCTATAAATAGAGAATAGAGAGCTTTTTAGAGAGTGGTTGAAGACCCAATTCTCTATTTTACTCTCCAAATATAGAGAATGGATAGAGTGGGGTTGGAGCTGGTCTTAGAAGTCTCAAATCATTTATTTTAGTTTCAAACTCATTCATTATCTTGAAAACACATCCTACACAATGACAGAATAAAATATGCTTAATGAATATAAACTCATCATATATTAATTCAAATTTAATTAAAATATAGTAAATAATATTTTTTTTTTAAAAAGGTAAAAATTCGTATTTATAGCCTACCATCAGTAGAACACCCTATCAAACAAGATTCGAAATAAAAATGTGTCACATTTAGAGTTGAAAAACTAGTGGTCATGTTGATGAAATTCCAATTTAGAGAAGCTATGACCACCACTCATTACAAATAGAACCAAATCTGGCATCCCAATCCATTCTCACCCTTAGCTTTTGTCCCCTTTGGGAACAAAAATACACTATGTAAATAGTTCTGTCACAAAATTCTTCATCTTCATCTTCCTCCCATGGCAAAGAATCTGCCTCAATAACTCCTTTTTATTCTACTTTACTGTTTCATCAACAAAAAAATAAAAAGAATTTGAGTCATGACTTCTTCCTACTCTTTATCTTCTATTAGAAACTCTACTAAATTTGTAGCTAACAATTCTAATCTTTTCTTTCCAAGACAGAGGCTTTGTGTGTTTACCAATGAAACTCAGTTTCCCAAGAAAGATTTTCTTGTACTCAAGCCTCAGACATGTTCTTTTTCATTTTTGAGACTGAAAAAATCCAGCTTTACACACCCTTTTGCTGCGTTATCATCTTTTGCCGAATCAGATGATGAAAAAGGTGAGAACTTTGAAGTCAAATCCCACCAAGAAAAAGCTATTTCCTCTGAGAATGAAGATGAGTTACCTGGAATGGCACAAGCTTTTAATATATCTTCAAGTACAGCTTCTGCTGTAGCAATATGCATTGCATTAGCTGCACTGATTTTGCCATTTTTCATGAAGTCTTTGGGTCAAGGATTGGGATTGAAGTACAAGATTTTGTCTTATGTAACAATCTTGTTTGGTTTTTACATGGCTTGGAATATTGGAGCTAATGATGTGGCAAATGCCATGGGAACTTCTGTTGGTTCAGGGGCATTGAGTCTCCGACAAGCCGTTGTCATGGCTGGGGTTCTTGAATTTTCAGGGGCATTGTTAATGGGAACACATGTTACTAATACAATGCAGAAGGGTATTCTTGTGACTAATGTTTTCCAAGGAAAAGATACTTTACTATTTGCTGGCCTGCTTTCTTCTTTGGCTGCTGCAGGGACATGGTTGCAGGTGCATTCCCTTTAGTATAGATTACTGATGAATATGTTTTTAAATAGAGTTACTTGCAAGTACCTTTTACAAGTAACATAATTGTGTATATATTTCATATACCACAAGTATATAGAACTTAAACAAGTACTAATTAAGTAACATAAGTGTGGCTTAGGGGGTAATGAAGTCAGAAAAGTCCCTGGAGATCAACCAGTAAATGATTTGTTTTTCTATTTGCCTAAGTTTTGATGAACTAAATTACCCGAAACCTGTGCTAGTGAGAGGCAACTGAACACTACTGTAATTAAAAACTAATGAATCAGTGACATGAATGGGAAACCCACTGAAATGCCTGACCTTTAAGGGGTTGTTTGGTATGGGCATTGGTGGGTAGACAAAGTTATCCCATAGATTGGGATATCCGTGGAATTAGTTATCCCACCATATATATTGGATAATATAACAGAAAATTATGTAGTGTATACTTCAGCCAAAATTTGGTTAACCAGATGGCCGAATGATTACATTGGTAACTATCCCATAAAATAGTCCTGCATTTTATTGCGGGATTATTATCCCTTGTTCAAACAACCCCTAAGTCGTCTTGAGTTTCTTGTCACTAGATAAAACTAAGAACAACTTAGGCCTCAATTGTAACACTAAGAAACGTTGTCAAGGAAATTGCTCCCTTGGACTGATGGTGCATAGATTATCCAAATCAACTATGGATAGACTTAATAAATGTGCTTGACATAACTTTATTTTATGTTCTTAAGGGAATGGCACAAGTAATTAATTAACAAAGTCTTGTGTTTTGACTATCAATGTTGATCATTAGCCTGAGCTGACAAATAGTAAACATCAACATTTTCACATGTAAACTTCTTGGTTGTTTTCACATGACACAAATGTAACTTCAGTTCAAATTGCATGGGAAACACAGACTACCCTAACATTAAAGTGCCTGACCGAATAACTTTTCAGACTCTAATTGCTAAAAATTGGCTATCAAGTCTTAGCTAGAACCTCTGCCTTCCCTTCATGTTTCATTCAGATGAATCTCCACTATATCACTCTGCATCTATCTGATCATGCACTTCACAGATGAAACACTGTTGTCCATTTAGCAATTCGCCAAGTACTCTCGTATGAAGTTTCTGGTTAGCTCCTTGTTTTCTTGCTCAGGTTGCATCATATTATGGTTTGCCAGTATCCACAACACATTGTATTGTAGGATCCATGGTTGGTTTTGGTCTTGTTTATGGGGGAACTGGTGCAGTCTTTTGGAGTTCACTGGCAAGGGTGATTTCCTCTTGGGTGATCTCACCTTTACTGGGAGCAGTGGTGTCCTTTCTCGTGTACAAATGCATACGGAGGGTATGTTCTTCTGATGTGCATACTCTGTCTTGGGCTCTAGTCACAAGACTTTCTTAATCCAACTCACAATTCCTAATCCTGGTGTTTTTTACTATTTTTAGTTTGTGTACAGTGCTCGGAACCCAGGAAAAGCGGCTGCAACAGCTGCACCAATTTCTGTCTTTCTTGGTGTCACTGGAATCTCTTTCATAGCTCTCCCTCTGAGCAAGACTTTGAATCTAGCTCTTGGCCAGGCTATAACCTGTGGCGCCATTAGTGCATTTGCAGTTGACAGGATCATCCGGGGCCAACTTGGCCACCTCCTGGCCAGAGCCAGTTCAAAAGAACCAGAACCAGAACCAGAAACTACTGACACTAAAAACATTGGATTTCTTTCAGATATTGCAGGTCCTAAAGGAACACAACTGAAAATAGTTTATGGTGTTTTTGGCTACATGCAAGTCTTATCAGCCTGCTTCATGTCATTTGCTCATGGTGGAAATGATGTCTCCAATGCAATAGGGCCATTGGCTTCAGCATTATCCATTCTTCAGGGTGGGCTCAGTGCAGCCGATATTGTTATTCCAAATGATGTTCTAGCATGGGGAGGCTTTGGAATTGTGGCAGGGCTAACAATGTGGGGCTACAGAGTGATTGCAACTATTGGAAAGAAGATAACAGAATTAACACCCACCAGGGGATTTGCAGCTGAGTTTGCAGCCGCATCTGTGGTTTTGTGCGCATCCAAGCTGGGCTTACCAATCTCAGGCACACATACCTTGGTGGGAGCAGTCATGGGAGTTGGTTTCGCTCGAGGATTTAACAGTGTAAGAGCAGAGACAGTAAGAGAGATTGCAACTTCCTGGGCAGTGACAATTCCGGCTGGTGCTACCTTTGCTGTTATTTACACATGGATATTCACTAAGCTCTTGTCATACTTACTCTGAGTGTAAATTAACAGACAATGCAGCAAAAACTTCTCGGTGTATGTGATTAATTAGGAAATCACATAGATGGACTTCCTGTCGTGATTTGAGAACTGCAATTTTTGAACCTCATTGATCCATGAGCGAGAGAGTGATAGTCCATTCGTTTGGATGAAGAACAAGAAATTTGTTTTGTTGTCCGTTTAGCAATTTGCTTTCCTATGAATTTTGCTTCTTAAAATATTGCTTCAGTTGGTTTTGGCTCAAGCTGTGGATTTCTACAACATAGAACAACTGCCAAAAACTCTGAGACCACACTAAAAGTTTCGATCAAGCTGTATCAGCAGCCATCAAAATTTGCACCAAATATACAGATATCATAAAGTTTCTCTAAAATATTTAAGCCTCAAAAGATATTATCTCTACAGCTAATGAATATAAAAGAAGTTAAAGCGCATGAATTCACTTACTATACGCCTGAGTACTAAACCAAGGATACTAATATTGACAGCATCCCAAGTAAATCTATGGTCACTGTAATACATACAGGTGGTTAAGGAACCAAAAGATCCTATATGAGCTTCTAAATTTTCTGTTGGATTTAAGAAAATGTGATTGTTTCTTTGTATTTTACTCAGAGATGGATGTAGCATATACCGACACCGGATTCATCTAAACCTAGTACTTTCAAAACCAGAGCATAAATTTATATGTAGAAATTCACAAAAAATTGCAACAAATAGTAGATATGAACTCATAACTTTAAACATATAATGGGTTCAATGCTAACAACCTTAGATGTTGAACCAGTTAAAACTTAAATATTGGATTCGCCCTCTAATTTTACTTCCATGTCAGGTAGCTGATCTTAGACATTAAAGTTTGAAACCATTATTCACATACTTGGGACCAGTAGGTCAGCACTCCAGTTACCACTTAACAAGAGACTAAAAATTAAGATCTTGTAGACTGAAAGCACAGGTAGTAGGGCCATTTCATATGTAACGAAAAATACGGTCTGAGGTGAATGATAAAGGGAGGCAGTCCAGGGAACACAAGAAAATGAGGAGGCAAACTAATGTCTGAAAGTGGATCTTTGTTCTTTATCCAAGCAAAGGGATCAGTCTAACTTCGACAAAATGGTTAAAATCTAATGTTGTCCAATTTGATCACACTGTGCATGCATAATGTAAACAGGAAATATTGTGCCATAATTATAAAAAATAAAGATCCTTTTATTTCTTGGATATTCAGAGCTGTGAATGTTTATGTGGTATATAATAGCAGAATATTACATGGTACAGAGGTTTCTCCTTCCTTGTCTGTCCAGCTGTTTTCCAGCAGGTAACATTTGTAACCAATACAAATAATGACTCATAAGAATTGAGAGATAAGAACGAAAATAGAACACAAATCTTGCAAAACTGATACAAAAAGACCATGATCTCCCCTTAGCAAAAGATAGACCATTGCAGTTAAAACAGCATAAGAAAATTGACATACCAGATGTATTTGGTACTAGTTAAAACGGGTTGAGAATCAGGTGAAAGGGATACTCATGGAGAAATCTCCTCTATTGACTCTAGATTAGGTTCCCATCTCGAATCCCTCCATGATTTCAGTGTCGGGATAGGAGGTATAAATGGCTTCTTCTCCTGCTGCATTTTCTTCCATAACCAACCAGACCATCTCTCTTTGGAGGCATAAAAGTGCTTTGCGAGACTTATAGAGTCCTCTGAACAATCTTCGTTTACATTCACAACTTCTTCCCCGTCAAACTTAGGCTCCTCGATTTCAGTGGGATGTTTTGCTTTATGAGTGTGTCTGTGCTTCAGTTTCTCTACACTACTAGATGGGATTACTAAGTATTTTTGCCCTGGCAATAGAATATCATCTGCAGTGAGAAGAGATTCATGGGGACGATTGAAGAAGTCCGGCAGAGCTACATGCCTTCCTGGATAGTTCTTTAATAACTGAGCTGCAGAAATGGCACAGTCGTACATATCTACCTTCCCACCAGGATGAACTATCCGCACTGTGATATCCTTAAGTTGCAAACTCAGGCTAAAAGAATCAGTTACCTTCAACTTTTTCCTTTTTTCAGATTCTCTGTCAGTATTCTGGCCTCTTCCTGACTTGTTACCACAAAGCTTCAGCATTTCCAGCAATTAGAAGGCCGCTACAACAATTACCAGCATCATGGATCAGAAACAGAAAACTAGGAGTGTAGTTGCTGTCAGATATCTCTATATAAACAAGGTCTCCAGCATAATAACATATTTTGTTTCTCTAGGCCAGCCATTATGAGCTTTAACATTATCTTAAATGAATTAAGTGATAACTCCAAAGGCCAAATAGAAAATTATATCCCCCAACAATAAAATCTCTTTGTATTCTCCTCAACCGGCAAAACCAAAGTCTTCCATGATAAAGCATCCAAGTTTTTGTTGTTTCAAAAATATACAAATTTTGTTTTGTGCCACGTCTGCAAACACATCCTTGTGCTCATATCGTACTCCCAGAGCCCTGATGGCACTTGACGTTCTAGCTTTTTCCTTCTCCCACTAATCCAGTTGTTATGAATGATAAAACAACCTTTTATCAAGCAGGCTTCCTTCACATTTCTTTCCTGCCAAAGATCTTTAAATGCACCATTCGGAAAGAGGTCTCTGTCCAGGAATTGAACGGTCAGGTTTGTTTGAGGTTCTAAGCATCTGCTGTCATCTATGCGATTATATCCACCTTCCCCGCACAACGTATCATAGAAGCTTGGTTGCTCAGAGAGATTTGAGTTTGCTGCATGCTCCACAACCTTCTCAAGTGCAGCAATAGTCATAGCATCCGAATGAGCATAATAGAACCCAGAATTCAGACGTCGAGGTAAGTTTATAGGTCCTGTAGTTGAGCCATACATATGTGCAAATAAAGAGACATTTAGCTTAAATCAAGTGGTGGTAACAGTTTATCTTCAACCACACAAGCATGAGATAAGTAGATATCTTCCTCCTGAAGATGAATCCCACTAATTAACTACTCCCTGAAATGTCTGACTTTCCTTTTAGTCCGTTTCAAAAAGAATATCTCCTTCCTTTTTGGCAACTATTTTATTTCAACTTTCTACATGGCATGTTTAAGACCACAAGAGTAAAGGGCATTTTGGTACATTTACATATCTTTAGTTTAAGAGGACAAGATTCAAAAGTTTCTTTACTTTCAAAAGTCAAAACCATACAAACAAATTGAAAAGAAGGGAGTACTCTTTTAGCACTCCAAATCACGGGATTCAACAAGAAAAGATAGTTTCCTTCAAAGGGAAATACATAAATACCTGTCAACTTGTATTCATCTGATTGTGCCACAAGAACTGCAGGGCCAAACGAGCTAAGCAAGGGGAGTGGATTCTTGAACCAATAAATATCAACATCACTCATTAATACATTGTAACCAAGCTTCAGTATCTGCAGAACCATTCTGGACTTGACTTTGGTTACTTTCTGAAAGCACTCAGTGCCAAAATGACAGTTGTCAAAGCTGATCTTGGTTTCAAGATTGGCATACTTGAAGACGGGTAGGCCCTAGAAACACAAGTTCATCTTAGTATTTTAGTAACTGGTAAAACAGAAGGGAGGGGGATGACATCTTAACATTCTGTGTATGGGGTCAGACATATAGTTTTCCCAAGAAATTGAGGTAGTCATAATAAATGTCAGGCATATTAGTCGGAAAGATAAATGAGTGAGCTATTACTATGATGCAGTAATGGTTCAACCTATCAATCACATTTAGTGTGGAGAATATTAGTTAACAAACAAAATAGTTTACCTGCAAGACACAGAACTCATATATATCATCGTCAAGAGCACAGACCAAAAAGTTAGAGATCTGGAGATGGTGTAGCTTGCAGACCCAACTCATTAGCATGTCCTTGTAACTATACCCAACAACTGCTAGCACAACTGTCTTATTTTTGTCTGCACGAAGTGAGAGTAATATTTCTAAAGACAAGGAAAGCGAAATTGGCATTGACACATTCAAGTAGTTCTTCACAGAGCAGTCATTAGCTCCCTCAGTTGATCTGATAGTATCAATGCATTCTAAAGTATTCTTCTCTCTTGTTGACTTGAACATAACTTCTTTTCTTAAACTCAATGATCCTTTATACCTCAAAGGGTAAACAACCATTTGTGCGGAGTTTATGAAGAGATAGTATCCTCCACACTGAAAAAGTCTAAATATGTTAGAGAAGTTCTGTTCATGGAAATATAATGATCCATAAAGCATTGCCAAATTGGAGTTGCCAGCGACTTCCCAAAACCTTTTTCCAGTAGCCAGTCCAAGAAAATCGCCACTGGTGCGATCGAAATCCTGGCCAAGGTCATTAAGGTACAGATTGGAAATGGCCCAACTAGCATCAAAAACAAATCTGAAATCAGATAGCAGAGCTTCATTTATAAGCCAGCGATTATGATGCCCCTTCCCATATAGAAAAGGGGGAAGGACTCCTTTATGCAAGGGAAGATCTCCACTGTTCCATGCTATTAGCATATTTTCCTCACAAAGGTTCCATTTCCTTTCTTGTGAAAGGAAATCCTGCAACTACAGGAACAGCATATTCAAATTAAGAAGTTTCCTCAAGACTGATCCTGTTCAAATCATTTGTAAGGTCCCTTTTTAACCATACCTTTTGGGTCTTCACTCGGCTTCCATCATCTCGGAGCCAATGTTTTCCATCTGCATCCAAGTGAAATGGGAAGTGGGGCACACTTTTTGATGAAGAAAAAAGGAGCCAATCATGATCAAGTCTATGAGCATGTCTGATAGTTTTAATGAAGTCTGGCAAGAGTACAGTGTTTGGATCAATCACAACAGAAACATCTGAAGAAGATGCTTTTGACCTTGCAACCATGGAATGAAAAAATGGTGTGCCTAGGAACCTAAAATAAAAATTATAATAACAGGTCAAAATTTCCAGATCAAATTAAAACCTAAAACTGACAAAAATAATGTAAGTTTACATACAACCCAATAAATCAGGTTCTTAGCAAAGTGATCACCAAATTGATCCTCTTCTCAAACTCTTTCATTCAGCTATTAGGCTCTTAAGTTATTGTTCGATGCAAAATACATCTGTCAATCTACATACAATGTGTAAGCTTAATCCTGATACTAAGGGATGAAATACCAACTTGGACCATTTGTCATAAAGTAACTTAACGAACAACTGTGACTATATCCTATTTCTCTGCGTATGCTCAATGTTTGTGTTATTTATAAACATGTACGATCGTTGGAGATATAATACAAGTTCAAAACCAAACTTAATTTAGAAGTCCTACTTTTTGGCATTAAAAAATTCCAGTATCAGCATAGTGCCAGAGATTATATCCAGCCTCTTTGCAGAAATGCAAAGGGAATACTGCAAACAGTAAATACCCACTCTCCTCTTACTAACCAAAAGCACTTTGTGCACAGGATAAGTCCCTTTTTATGCAGGATTGACTGTGTCAAATTCGCTAAACAACAAGAAACAATTAAATTTTCAGGTATGATTACTGAGCTTAAAATTATCCATTGTAATCGTAAAATTACAAAACTATTTTTGTCTCGTTTAAGTAACTTAACTTTACGGACAATATCAGTAAAGACAACTAACATTTCTCCTATTAAAGTAACTGAACTTTATCCATTATAAGAGTCAAGTCCCTAAACGTCCTCACTATAACAACAAACATATCCATCAAGGTGATTTAACTATTATGGTTAATATAGTTTGCAACTTTATTTCCCAGAGAAAACACGAAAGTACTTGCAAAAAAGAGACTAACTAAAGTAAAATTCATACGTGAAATCGATGTTTGGCTCAACTGATACCCTGTGGCTTAATAATTCAGCAAAGGAGAAAACGGAAGAGTCTTGGCTGAAAAGAACAACACTAATATCTGGTGACAAGCCAAGCCAAGATCGAATAGCAAGAGCTTGCCTTTCCCCAACAGTACCCACAAAAGGCCTTGGCGCTGTAAATAAGGTAATACTAGGACCATCCACCAATTCACCATTGAAAAGCATGGTCTGACCTTTAAAATAAGATGGCAATGGCATAAGTTGAGTAGCATAAAAGGAGACACCAATCAAGATAAATCCCCATACCCAAATCAACCACAACCCAAGTAGCTTTGCCTGTTAAATCCACCAAAAGATAGAAGAAGAAGAAGAAAAATCAACATTTATTTGAGCATAAAGAACACAAGGTCGTAGTAAATGCATAAAGTTAAAAGCTTTGTTGAACATAGTAGCGTAGTAAATGCAGAAAGGGGATAAAGAATAGAACACAATAGCATATTACTAATTAAATACATAAAAGTTGAAAACTTTGTTGAAGTTGAGTGGCAATGAACAACACAATAGCATAGTAAAAGCATAAAGATTGAGAAAGAAATGAATCTTGATTGTAGTAAATGCATAAAGATGGAAGCTTTGTTGAAAATGTACCTTCTTGTTGTGGAGATATGGGAAGAGAAATGATTGAAAGAAGTTCTTCATTGTTGTTTGTGAAAAGAAGGGGTTGGAGATTTCATGATTTTGTGGAGCTTTAACGGAATAAAAGTCTATAATAAGTAAAAAAAGTTGACAATAGCAGCAACAGCAACGCCGTGGGAAAAGCATGGAAGTGGAGGAGGGGAAGTAAAAGGCATGTGAGGCATTATGCGTTAGGCAGCCGTAGGTTTTAAGGGTCAACGTTTCTTCACTAAGTATTATTTTAATGGTGAGTGCAGATGCAACTATCAATTGGAAGTGGAACTTCAAACTTCCAATCCTCCATTATGGAATACGAAAATGATATGTCAAAAATCTATTTTTAGAATAGTGGACTAGACGGAGTAAGTATTATATTTTCTTCCTTTCCCCATTACACTTTCCTTATTATGTGTTTGAGGTAATGTAGTTTATTAATTTTAAAGACACTGTCCAAAGATATTAAAATGACAATCTTAACTTAAGCATACCTCAATACACACAATACAATTGGTCACACTCACAGATCTGGGTAATAGTGGGAACTGTGGGTTAATGGTCAGTAATCGGTATCAACCATGGTGAATTTTTCGAAAATTGAAGATCTAAAAAGTAGAAATATATATTCAACTTAATGCAGACACAAACATCATATGAGAGAGGATTTCCTCATATACATACAATTTGATTAATCCAAATATATTAAAACCCCATTTCATCCTAATACAAGTAAATAATTTATAAAACATCCGTAAATAAAATTTGCTTTTAAATTGAAAAGCATGCTAATAATGTATGGTTTGATACAAGAACACAAACATATTAACCATTCTAAGTTTTTCCCAGTCCCTTTACTTGAGATAAACCAAAATAAAATACACATTCTAAAATTATTACAGTTTCTAAGTTGATCCACACTCCACCAAGTTTTTCTTTGCCCTTTTTGACAGGCATTTACACTTCACATGGATCAATATCAGCCACCCTATCATAAAATAGCAACCCCTGGGAAGCAATCACAACTAAATAGCTGACATTTTTTCATTATAAGCATGTCCACGAGTTAGCATAGATCCATCCTCATTCACTTTATCCAAACACAATGCTCTTCTTCATTACATAATCCCTAATATTCTGTTTTTTTTCTCACAAGGAAACAATATATAATTATATAAGATTGCATAACTAGGAGGATCTGAGACTCCCCAACTTCCAACGAATACTAGTACCAAATGGAAAAAGGTCATGGATGTTCAAGTGTTGGTTCACCTCTTCTTTAGACACCTCAACCTCCAAATACAATGTACAGCTAACAAAATTTATCAACCTCAATATTATAACTAATACTGTCGCAAATGTCAACAACAGACACGCTGATAACAGATACAGGCACCATAAACCTCTCATATCATTAGTCCTCTGCACGAGAGTATCGCAGCTTTACTCCTGTCAACCACAATCTGAAACCAAGATTTTAATAGGTCAACTTGCATATCTATTGTCATACTTAACAGCCAAAGGCAGTACAGAGGATTTCGAACAGGTCAACTGGTGCATCCACTATCTACTTAACAGCCAAAGGCGGTAGCCAATAAGAATATGCAAGGTCATTAGCCTTAAGTACTCTGTCTTGACTCCAGGTACTTGTGTGCTCATCTTTTCCTGCGATTAGGAGACCTTGATCTTGATCTTGATCTCGACCTTGACCTCCTTCCCCTGCAGTTACATGGACCAGTTTATAAACAAGATAAAATTTCTGAAGTGCATTTATTAGATTAGTTCACCTGTATCAATATGTTCTTAGCTATGCTGATGGATGACTAAGTTGAAAAATATCAAGAGAAATTTAAGAACACCCAACAAGATACCTGATGCTTTCACTAGCAGGGTAAGGAGAACGCCTGCGCTGAGAGTGCTTGCTATGAGGAGACCGCGAAACGTGTCTAAAAATAAAAAGATTACATGCTAAACAAGTAAGTGGTGACAAAAAGATACAATATTTTGGATACAAATTCTCAACCTACTATATATATTCAGGCTCTAGAAGAATTTGAACTCCGTATGGTTGCAACCTTTTTTAATAAGTTATATATAGCTAATGATCACTATCAAAGGATTTTGAGGTGAAATTGCCTCAATCATGAAAAGGACTTAGAATTTATAAATTCCACATTCAAACAGTGGTGGCAGTTCATAGTTTTTTCCTCTTGATGAGAGTACAAATTCCTGGTCCAAAATCCTGTAACAGTATCTGCTTAAGAAGAGTTTATCAAAACAATAAAGCAGTCATTTCATTATCATTATAATTTTGAATCAAAAAGTCATCTAATTGATAGCTAAGCCTCTTTACCAGTTCCTTTACAATTAATGGTGCTGAGGGTGTGTTTGGTATAGAGGAAAAATGTTTTCCATGATTGGTTGGCTTAAATATTTGGTAAAATGTTTTCCTTATAAACTCATTTTCCAACAAATTCAGAATAATGCCTTCTCTACCAAGAGGGGAAACATTCACCAACTCCCAAATTGACAGTTTCAACCCTCCCCGTCCCTACCCCCCAATCCCTCCCACCCACCCCACCCCACCCCTACAACCAACCCCATAGTGTTTGCCTAGATTTATATATAAATAAATGCTCGCATCTGTCCTAGCATTGATGTACAGAGTTACCTGGTACCTTTTGTTGGTGGGAGGTGGTGAGGTATCCCGTGGAATTAGTCGAGGTGCACGAAAGTTGGCCCGGACACCACGGTCATCAAAAAAAAAAATTGATGTTAAGGAAACCCTGTGACGGGGATTTCATTTACACTTAAGTCAACTTGATGAAGTGAACGACTCTACTCGTTTGGTAAACAATTCTAAAACAGCTATAATTGCGGAATTTGTAACCCTTTTAAATAACTTCCAGCAGCTATGTCTACTAATTTACTGCAAAATTATAGTTTGAAAATAAAATTGCATAGTCCTTCTAAGCATTTGAAAATGAATCAAACTATCTAAGGAGTTGTGAGGAAACACATTATGAAAACTTTTAAGCTTACCTAAATATTCTGTGTGAAAAGAAAACCTCAAAAAATTCAACTGAAAGTCATCCCTTCTAAAAGATTTGGGTAATTCATTCAAAGGGCTAAAATCGGCATGAAGGATATTCAACAAAGAAATTGGTCCAACTCCTATAAATTTTCTTGACATAACACATCACTCCTTCAAAAACCACCTTAAAGGAATTCACAAGACATGAGCATAACAATTTGGAATCGCAAGCAAATACCCTAATTATAAATCTTTTACGTAAGTAGCATAAATAGGAGTTCTCTATCAAGCATTTTAGTTTTTTTTTATGGCATAGGCATCTAAAATATAAGACTAATAATCATGTCCACAGGGACCATTCACTACGGCATAAGCAATGACTTATCACTCTGGCAAAAAGCAGGTGACAACAGTGTACACAATTTGAGTAATTAATGTATTGATTACTAGAATACATGGTATAAGTACTTTTTATTTATAAGGTAAATGGCATTAGAACTGTTAATATGTTAAATGATACAAACAACACCAAGGGAGTACTCGTCCAACAAGGGCAATGCATCATTAAGTGGGTGAATAACCTATCGAGCTTCCAACTCTACAAAATGCTTAAATGTTAAATCAGATAGATGACATGTACAAGACTTGCAAAGATATGTGGAGATGCACTTACAAATTAGTGATGCTAAATTGATTGTAACAGAACTATCAAACCAGGTAATAACACCATGATGAAACTAACAGAAATCCATCTTATGAGTCGGTGGCAGTGACACATTATTCAGTATTTTCTTCTGACATTAGCTCTTATTGCAAGTCCAAACTATCAGCTATTTGAATGTACTCACAAGGGGAAGTAGGATTACTCTGTTATGTGCTTAGCTGTTTTGACTTACAAGTACCAGGATGTAACAAGTAAACCCTCATCATGCCTTTTGTTGTACAGCCTCCTAAGCACATTTAATTAGTAGGGACTCAACCGTGCAGTCTTTTCCATGGGAATGTGTGTTTTCATTAGTCCACACTTCCATGGATGTTCTTCATGAAATAATTCATCACACTAGTTATATATTTTTTTTGATAAGGTCACACTAGTTATATATTTACTAATAAACTTTAAAGTAAAGTCTTTACTAGCTTCAGTTAAGGTTCTCCTCTGAATCAAAAAAACACAAATGCTTCATTTCATTTTATAGGACGCTCCTTTAAAGTCTGGAATCTTTTCCGAACAGAGTGACACTTTCCTATATATGGAAGTCTAACTTTAGCATGTTTAAATCCACAAGATCCGAAGAAACTTTTAGTATGTCCCAAAGTCTTTTTTTTCACTCAGCAGAAAGTTGTCTGCTAGATCTTTGCCTGATGTTAGTTTGCTCCCACAATATCTCTTAAGACTCAAATACCTTGTTGAACGGAAGATAGACAGGAAATCCGAAATGTTTGCATATGGTAGAAATAGTAAATAATAGAGTTAAAAATCAAAGGAAAACAATGCAAAAAGAGAAAGGAAAACAGTACTAGAGTGTGGAACCTAAACAGTACTAGAGTGCTAGGAAAACAGTGCAAAATACGTGGAACGTATTTTTACGAAGGCAATTATCCAAGTCTCGTATAGCACACTAAATTAGTGCACTATATGTAAAAAATGTAAACTTTATTCTGACACTTTCTTTTGGTCAACTGTCTTTTTGTCCATTATTTAGGCTCGGGACTCTCAGAACAACCCCCCTCACATTACTAACCCAAATACCCAATTAAGTAATGAACAGTTAATCCTGATATTGAGGGTTATTTTTGTCATTTTTGAAGCTGTCTCTTATCTCCACATAAACTGGCGGAAAAGCTCCATCTATCCTATCAACAGTGTGCTTACTACAGATATTTTGGCCAGTAGACTAGGAGGCAAGGTTGGGGAGCTCCCAACTACTTACCTAGGCCTGCCTTCGGGAGCTAAAAGCACATCCAAAGGCATATGGAATGGGGTCCTGGAGAAATGTGGAAAGAGACTTACTAACTGGAAGAGCCAGTACTTGTCCTGGGGAGGAAGATTGACTTTAATCAACAATGTGATTAATGCATTACCCTCTTATATGATGTCTATCTTTCCTATGCCTAACAATGTATCTAAGAGCATTGATGCCCTTAGAAGGAATTTCCTATGGCAAGGCAGTGAAGATAAGAAGAAGTTTCATCTAGTTAAATGGGAGGAATTGATTGTGAGTAAGAAT